CTAAGGAGGGCTAAGGAGCCCTAGGGAGGCCTAAGGAGGGCTAAGGAGGGCTAAGGAGGGCTAAGGAGGGCTAAGGAGGGCTAAGGAGGGCTAAGGAGGGCTAGTGATAGTTATTCAGGGCTAGAGTATCTAGAGCATAATGATACAGTATAATAAGGGGTCACATAAAGTATATACCAAAGTGACGAAGTATCACGTTAATTACGAGCCGAAGTATCACGTTAATTACGAGCCGAAGTATCACGTTAATTACGAGCCGAAGTATCACGATAATTACGACCCGAAGTACCACGTTAATTACGAGCCGAAGTATCACGTTAATTACGAGCCGAAGTATCACGTTAATTACGAAACATTTTGAATTACGATGTAAAGACGTACGTCGTTACGGGCAATGAAACTTTACGACTGAATTTGATTTACGGCCCAATCAACTTCCCACACGATCAAGAGTTATTTTTGATAGTGATAACCCCTCATAGAGCCAGAGGTTTAAAATGGGGGCCTTTTGTATTTTCGTAGTTTTGTCGGTGCCACAAACGTACGTGACATTTCACTAAGGTATCGCAAGTTCAGAGTGCAACGATTTAGCTCTATTACATCGGTTAAAACCTCATGCAATGGTTAAAATCAGCAAACAAGTTTGTATTTATATGTACGTAACAGTTGATTGTGGGACATTTTTCGTTTACTAGCCCATACTCATGCGCACAGTTCCGAACACCTATAAAACACGGTTTATAATAAAATATCTTTGTTAACGTACTTTGTTAACGTATATACGTTTGCTATTTTTTATGCAAAACTATTCATAAAACTGACATATGTTTTCAGGTAGGTTGGGTAATATTGAGAACGGGTATAATATCCCAGTTCGATACTGATAAAATAATTAAAATTTCAGACCTTGTTAGCTCAGCCAATTCTTGTTAAATTATATAGAATTGCCGAATTTTACTAGGAAACAGGTTATCTGCTACAAATTTCAAGAGGTTGTTTGACAGTGCATAATATAAATACATTGTATATATAAACTATTTACAGGTAGTATAAAAGGCCATACATTGATACATTGTGATCAAAGCTGACGGGACTTGTAAATGAACAGGTACCAGAAATTATCTACATTTGTTTTGTCAGATTAAACTCATTCGTTATACTATATACGCGGTTAGTTTCTCTTGATTACTGTAGAGAAATATTCAACTTACATGTGTTTCATGATAAATACGACTGAATCAACGAACGCGTGCGATTAATACTCTCAGTATTTACTGTTGAAAGATCGAAGGACGACCACAACACATATGGATATAACTAGATAACTTCAGTACGAGGCAATGAAGGATATAAATAACTGTTTCTAAAATTTGGACGTGAATTAGTGGATACGCCCATATAACATTACATGGGAACGATTATATAAAGTTGCTGTTTAAACCAGGTTCCAGAGAGCTTTGAATCAAGAAAGGATTTTATAAATTACGGCTTAGACATACTAGTTACAATGACTAAAGCCAAGCAGATTGAATACTGCAGTTTATCAAAAGAGATGGATTTAGATGAGCCTCATAACATTCAACCATGGAAACGTTTGAGTTTTCAGTGTGCGAAAACATTCGTATTCATTTTTAACGGATTTTTCTGGCTGCTCGGTTGGACTCTGATAGGAGTGGGTATATCATTACAAAGTTCAATTGGAGCTCATAAATATTTAGCCAGCAGAGGTTATGAAGATTCCGTAATAAGTGGAAAGGATTATGGAGGTTACAGTTCAGCATCGGAACTTTGTCTAAGTATTGGATGCATTATACTTCTTGTTGTCCTGTTAGCATGTTGTGGCACTCACACAGAAAATCATCTCATACTGGGCATCTATCTTGCAATTGTTGTGATTTTCTTAAGTTTTGAAATCGTAGCCATTACTATGGTTAGTTTTCACAAGGAGAAAGTGGAACAGCGTATTATCAACGATATCAAGTTAACAATGAATTTTTACGAAGTGAAAAATTTTGAAGGAATAACAAAGTCCATCGATAGTTTTCAAAAGGTGTTCCATTGCTGTGGTTGTATTGATTATGCAGATTGGTTTAATACAACATGGGGTAAACATCATAAAATGGACGTACCTAGCAGTTGTTTAAAGAATAACACTTGGCAAGAGGCAATACACCAAGGAATGATCGATACATCTAACACTGTTTTTACTATCAACAAGGAAGGGTGCTTTAAACATGTCCGGGATTATTTTGTAAAAAATCTTCATCTTTTTAGGACATTGATTGCGTGGGTATTAGGTATACAAATAATTGGCCTGGCGTTTTCTGTTTGTTTGTTTTATAAGTATAAATATTATAAGACACGGATTGCAAGTCGTTATAAGGCAATCAATAGCGAACGACAATGATAACTAGGGGATGGAAAAAATCAGAGTTGTAAAATCCGGATTGAAACGTGAAACCACTGAAACAAGGTACCCATGAAGCAACTTTTGATTTGCATTTTGAACGTTCGGTTTATATTTTTCTCGATGATAAATAACACTTATTCGTTCATGAAAAATTTTAGTATAAAAGGAATTTGTAATTTTTTCTGCTGAAGGAATGGATTTCTTTGTTGTGTAATTAACCTTTTCCCGTTTCTCAGTTCCTGTTGAAAAATGTAATTAATTACAATATCTTTAACGAGTAGCCTGTGGCGTTACAATTGTATAACGAGCATTTACAGCCCTGGCGAAAATAAGTAATCTTTAGCCTCATTAGGCCACATAAAATAAACTTGATTCTCATCACTAGACTTTGAAAATGTCGAAGAGCCGGGAGGTTTATATTCAATCATCAATAAATAAAAAACTGATAATTCCTAACATTTAATATTTCTGTGATGAAGTTTCAGTGTCACAAACCAAAATGAACATATTTCTCCACGAACAATGACTGAACCGTTCAACTGAATGCGAAGTTCCGTTAAAATGCAATGAAATTTCTTTCTAGGTTCTATTTGTTTGAAATTGGCAGTTTAAAATGGCACTAAAAACCCAATTTTAAATATAAAAAACTTAAAGGTGATCTACAGTTCGATCTGCGCATGTGCACAAATGAGCCCACTTTTTATGATACAAACAGTTTAACTATGTTTTGAGTTCTTGAAAAGCCTGATTGTTGTTTCTTGATCATTTATTATAATCTAGAAGCTTGAAAATATAAATAGTTGTCGAATAAAGCTCAATATTTTGGACACAAAAATGTAAACAAAGGCTTTGTTTACATACGGACTGTAGATCACCTTTAACTGTCTTGAAATATTTTGTCGGGCGGTTCATTTATATTGTATAACAAAATATAAAAAAATTTCACGCGTCTCTTAAAATACAGTCGGGCGGTGATGAGAATCAAGGAATTTATTTTATGTGGCCTTAGCTTCGTGACTCTCCTCTGCAGAGATCTCCCGTGGAGAGGAAGTGCTCTGTTCTTGACCAGGGCCCAGCGCCGTAGCGAGGGGGGGGGTATTGGGGGGGGGTTAACACCCCCCCCCAACTTTTGTAGAATTAACATATTCGGAAAATCGGTTTGGCCATTCGGAAAATTACGGCAATAACAGTATAACAAAATTTTAGTTGTTTAAACAGAGAAAATATTATAAAATGGTATTGTCAGTATAAACCATTGGTATAAACTGATTTACCAAATCACGGTATTTACATGGATAACGTAAAACAAATCGTAAATCGGTAAATGTTTTTCGGTTTACTATTTCTCAGGGCCGTAGCAGTCGGGGGGAGGGGGGACTTGGGGCAGCAGCCCTTACAATAATTTGCTGATAATCATTCTTTTTTCAAAATCATGCACACCTTTATCATTTAAATAATATACCTTTAAAATACTGACAATAGACTAGAGGCACATGTGCATCGGATCGGATTGGATTGGACGTTTATAATCCGACAATTGCCTAATGTTTAAAATCCGATCCGAAATTGTCTAATCCGAATCCAATCCGAGTTTTGAAAAAGAATTCCAATCCGATCCGATCCGAAGAATTCTTTAATAAAATAAATTTCTCATTCAAGTTTTGTTTCGGCTTGTCTAGATCAAAATTTCACTCACAAGGGGAAAGGTCTATTGATTAATTTTATTAAGCGGCTACATTATCCATGACAAACCGCAAAGAATCATATTACCTATATACTCTGTCCTGCAATATATAGTTAATTAAATACGCCTTCGCCCATTTAGTTCTTACTAAATTGTAAGCAAATTGTAAATTTCGACATACTAAAACTCTATTAACAACTCGAACCGACTTGACCACGTAGCTCAGTTGGCAGAACATTGGACTAGTATCCCAAAGGTCGCGGGTTCGACTTCCATCGTGGCCAAGCTAAGCAAACTTTTCAGCTTGCCCGCTGTGGATGCATACTCAGAGTAACGTCACAAATATCATACTAAAGCCCCGTTTACACCACGCTCAATTTTTGGTACGGCACGGATGAAATTGGTACCCGTACCACTTTTTTTGTTTCCAAGAACCAAAAAGTGATACGGTACCAAAAATTGAGCGTAGTGTAAACGGGTTTTAGCTAAATAGGTAGTCCAAGAACCAAAAAAGTGGTACGGGTACCGATTCTATCCGTGCCGTACCAAAAATTGAGCGTAGTGTAAACGGGGCTTAAAACTCCGTTTTCTGACCATCAGAATTCTGTCAAAACTTCCCCAAAGTCCAGGAAATGGCATTTCAGAGAATCTAAATTTAAAAATTTCCTCGGGCCTTCGGCCCTCGTTCCCACCGCCCAATAAAAAAAGCTTTCTACGGTACTGCATGTTTCTGTAATATGTCTTTGCGTAAACTATGTGTATTTTTGTTTGTAAATTACATCTTCATTTTCCGGATAGCAAACACCTTCGTGGCTTCGTATGCCATGAAATATTCGGAAATTTTCTTCGTCATTCGGAAATTTTTGGCCTACACCCCCCTCCCCCCCCAACTATATATGCTAGCTACGGCCCTGCCAGGGCCTTTCTTATAGCTATACATATGACACCACACCAAACTTTTTGTCACCAACAACCATCTCTCCACACTCAATATAGTATGGTCCCCTTTTCTTGATGACCCCC